CCTTCAGCAAAGTGGCCGGATACAAAATTAACTCAAAAAAATCAGTAGCCCTCCTGTATACAAAAGACAAAAGAACCAAGAAAGAAATTAGGGAAACAACACCCTTCACAATAGCCACAAAAGACATAAAGTACCTTGGTGTAACCCTAACCAAGCAAGTCAAAGACTTGTATGAAAAAAATTTCAAGTCTCTGAAGAAAGAATTAGAGGAAGATATGAGAAGATGGAAAGATCTCCCATACTCATGGCTTGGCAGGATATAGTAAAAATGGCCATCTTACCAAAAGCAATCTACAGATTCAATGCGATTCCCATCAAATTACCAACACAATTCTTTACAGACCTTGAAAGAAAAATTGTCACTTTGATATGGAACAACAAGAAACCCAGAATTGCTAAAACAATTCTCTACAGTAAAAGATCTTCAGGAGGTATCTCCATCCCTGATCTCAAGCGTACTATAGAGCAACAATACTAAAAACTTCATGGTACTGGCATAGAAACAGACTCGTGGATCAATGGAATTGAACAGAAGACCCTGACATAAATCCAAACACTTATGGACACCTGATTTTTTACAAAGATGCCAAAACCATACAATGGAAAAAAGATAGCATCTTCAACAAATGGTGCTGGTCCAACTGGATGTCTACATGTAGAAAAATGAAAATAAATCCATACTTATCACCCTGCACAAAACTGAAGTCCAAGTGGATCAAAGACCTCAACATAAAACCAGACACATTAAATCGGCTAGAAAAAAAGTGGGGAATACCCTAGAACTCATTGGCACAGGAGAAAACTTCCTGAACAGAACACAAACAGCACAGGCTCTAAGAGCAACAATCAATAAATGGAACCTCATGAAACTGAAAAGCTTCTGTAAAGCAAAGGACACTATGGTCAGAACAAAACGACTACCTACAGATTGGGAAAGGGTCTTCACCAACCCTATATCTGACAAAGAACTAATATCTTGTATATATAAAGAACTCAAGAAGTTAAACAACAACAAATCAAGTAATCCAATTAAAAATGGAGTACAGAGCTAAACAGAGAATTCTCAATAGAGGAATATCGAATGGCTGAGAAACACTTAAAGAAATCCTCAACCTCATTAGCCATCAGGGAAATACAAATCAAAACGACCCTAAGATTTCACCTTACACCCATCAGAATGGCTAAGATCAAAAACTCAAGAGACAACACATGCTGGAGAGGTTGTGGAGAAAGGGGAACCCTCCTCCACTGCTGGTAGGAATGTAAACTTGTACAACCACTCTGGAAAGCAATCTGGAACTTTCTCAGACAACTAGGACTAGCACTTCCTCAAGACCCAGCTATACCACTCCTAGGCATATACTCAAAAGAGGCTCAAGTACACCATAAGGACATTTGCTCAACCATGTTCTTAGCAGCTTTATTTGTAATAGCCAGAAGCTGGAAACAGCCCAGATTCCCCTCGGTGGAGGAATGGATACAGAAATTGTGGTACATCTACACAATGGAATATTACTCAGCAATAAAAAACAAGGAAATCATGAAATTCACAGGTAAATGGTGGAATCTGGAAAAGATCTGAGTGAGCTATCCCAGAAGCAGAAAGACACACACAGTATATACTCACTATATAGACATATAATATACTAAAACCTGTACACCTCAAGAAACTGATCAAGAGGGAAGTCTCTTGCTAAAGTGCTCAATTCCTATCCAGAAAGTCAAAGAGGATGGACTTTGAAGGAGAAAAGAGGGAACAAGTCAGAAGCCTGACACAGAGGACCTCTGAATGGCTCTGTCCTGCAGACTATCAAAGCAGATGCTGAGACTCATGGGCAACCTTTGGGCAGAGTGCAGGGAGTCTTAGGAAAGAAGTGGGAAACAGTAAGATCTGGAGAGGACAGGAACTCCACAAGGAGAGCAACAGAACCAAAAAATCTGAGAACAGGGGTCTTTCCTGAGACTGATACTCCAAACAAGGATTATGCATGGAGATAACCTAAGACCCCTGCACAGATGTAGCCCATGGCAGTTCAGTATCCAAGTGGGTTCCATTATAATAGGAACAGGGACTGTCTCTGACATGAAATGATTGGCCTGCTCTTTAATTACCTCCCCCTGAGGGGGAAGCAACATTACCAGGCCACAGAAGAAGACAATGCAGCCACTCCTGATGAGACCTAATTGACTAGGATCAGAAGGAAGGAAAAGAAGACCTCCACTATCAGTGGACTTGGGGAGGGGCATGCATGTAGAGGGTGGAGGAAGGGAGGGATTGGGATGGGAGGAAGGAAGGAACCACAGGGGGGATACAAAGTGAATAAAGTGTAATTAATAAAGAATTAAAAAAAAACACTAATATTGAAGCAAAAATCAAATAAATTAGCTACATTAAAATTTATACCTTGTTAGTCAAATACAGCAAAAAGAATAGTGGCCAGGGGAGAAAACTTGTAGTTTCCAGCAAGGGACTTGGTTCTGAAATATATCAACAACCAAAAGAGGCATTTCTAAAAGAAGATATCCAAATAGCCAATTTCATTAATTGTCATGAAATGCAATTAAAATCTTAATGTAACTCTCTGCATATTTGCTATAAAACCAACATGGAAAAGACAGGTCATATCAAGTTTTAATGAGGATATGGACCAATTGGAATGCTCAAAAAATACTGGCAATGAAAACATTGGAATCACCATTTTAAGAGACTCTAGAACATTTGCTTTGAGAGAATACTTATATACCCTGAGATCTACAGATTTATTTCAATTGAAATATGTACATGTGTTCACCAGAGAAAGTGTACACAAAGCACCATTGCTGATAATCAAACATTGGAAACAGCCCAGATATCCACCAATGGCATAAGGCAGTGATTTCCAACCTGTGGGTTGCAAACCCTTTGGGTCAAATTATAACTGAAAATATAACTTGTATACCAGATATTTACATTAAAATTCATCATGGTAGCAAAATTATAGTCATAAAGTAACACTGAAAATAATTTTATGGTTGGGAGGGATCACCACAACATGAGGGACTGTATTAAAGGGTTGGCACATTAAGAAAGTTGAGAACCACTCAAATAGACAAACCAATGTTACGTGGGTGACAAGTCACTTTTGAGGAAGGATGCAATGATTGGCAGGGTACGTGAAAGGACTGCTGGGGCTTTGGAATATCCTGTTTTATTTCAGGAGGCATATGTGTGGTGTGTGGAGTGTTATTAAAATAGACACATGTTTTCTGCATTGCAGTATATTTCAATTTTTAAAGTCACATGAATAAATTATGTGAGTGGAATTATAGTTGAAATCTGTGTGCCTATGTACCAAGGAAAGTGAGAAAGGAAGAATTATCTTTAGACAGAACAGGGACTCATCCAATTAACCTTGTGCAATTCTCTCCTCAGGTGGAAGGGCTGACTGTGGATGGCCAGCAGTTTGGAGAAAGTGTCAAAGAGCCTGGCCAGACCTTTGTGAATGCAGCATTTGATGGGATTCTGGGCCTAGGATACCCCTCCTTGGCTGCTGGAGGGGTAACCCCGGTGTTTGACAACATGATGGCCCAGAACCTTGTGGATCTGCCTATATTTTCTGTCTACTTGAGCAGGTGGGGTTGGCCAAGCCCCTCTGTCAGATCAGTGACGACTACAGGCAGGTGGCCGGCACAGGAGACTTCTTGGTCCTAAGACCCACAAATCTCTTGAGTCTCTTGCCTGGCCTATGCTGTATGATCTTGAGAAAAACACTTAAGCCCTCTGGATTTCAAGGATATGTGGTTTTCCTCGTAAAGGAGTTATGTCAAACAGTTTGTGAACTACCACAGTGAGTTAAATGTATCCTTGAGATTGGCTAGTGGTTTGTATGGTCAATAAATACTACAATCCTGTTACATGCCAAGTGTAGACACCAAAACATGATGAAACAAGGATAATATCTGTGGTTAGGAAAGAAGGGAAAGATTAGTCAATAAGATGATACTAAAAAGCTGGACACGGTGGCACACACCTGTAATCCCAGTGTTTGGGATGTCAATAGCAGGCAGATCTCTGTGAGTTTAAGGCCAGCCTGGTTTACAAATGAGTCCAGAACAGCCAAGGCTACACAGAGAAACCCTGTCTTGAAAAACCACAAAAAAAAAACTTACTAAAATTAAATTGTGTTGATGGATAGGAAAGAAAGTGTGGGATAACCATAGAGTATCACTTGGTCTTTAAAAGGAAAGAGAGTGGAGAGGGGTAGCATGGTGGTAGAGGACTTACCTAGGTTGCACCAGACTCTGAGTTTACTCTCCAGTGTCTCACAGACATGTGCTAGAACATGGATTAAACTTCAAGACCTTGCTAAATAAAAGGCCAGTCACCAAAAGGACAGATATGGTTCTAATTATATGAGATACTTAGAATTGAATTCACAGGCAAAAAGTACAGTGGTGGTTTCCAAGGAGGGTTGCTCTTAATAAGTCTCAGTTCTACACTGTGAAAATGTATGGGAGCTTGTCTTCACGGTAGTGAAAAATCTGAACTGAACATTTAAAAATGGCTAAGATTTTTTTTCTTAGCTGTATTGCCAGGAGTTTAAAACTTCATGTCCTATAATTATGAAGAGTATGAATCTCACTGTCCCTGTATTCTTGCCTACAGTGCTGAGACTTTCTTTCCTATGCAGAAAGATTTACCTTTTCCTCTCTGGCCTGGCCTGAGCTCGCCATGCTCCAATTTATGTCCCCTTTCCCTGTTCCCCTCCCACATGAAGAGTCCTAAGTTTGCTCTCTTGGGCTACATTGTGTCTCCAGCATGGCTGCAGCTGGAACCAAGCCTGGTGTAGGCTTTTGATCGAGGCACACTGTTAGGACCCATGCTTCCCCTTGCAGAGGCTCCTGCTCTCCTCTTGTTGACAAAGTGTGCAGTGCTGGTCAGGAGCAAGGCCAGAATAGCCTGGCTTTAAATCCTACCATTTGCATTGTTTTGTCTCCCAGGATCTCAGTTTCCTCAAGCAAATAGTAGGTTGATGTGAGAATTCAACAAGATCAGGTGGTTAGATTTCTGGAACCCAGGACTCATGCATGTTCTTGCCAATCAAGGGCTCTACCCCTTAGCTACATCCTCAGTCCCCACTAAACATAAAATTCCTACAGACATATGTTTCTTTCCCCACTGCTACTATGACCTATAGTTCCCCAGGCTTTGTATCTTTATGCTCCCTTTCCTCCTGGAAATGCCCTTTTTCCCCACAATCCTACTACATTTCAGCATATAACTTGAGAAATAACTATCAATGAAAATTAACCGACATTCAAGCCCCAATAAAACATAATGCTTTAAAATTAGCAGACACCACGGCATGCATAGCAGGGGTGATGCTGTGTGAAAGGATGTTTGGGGGCAGGCAGTCTCAGTTGCACTGGGTTTGCACACCCAGAATGGTCCTGACCTTGGATCTACAGTTCTGTTGCCCCCTACCTCCTAAACTTTTATTCAAGAAGCAGGGGATATTCACAGGGCATTGGACAGAGCAGTTCTTATCTCTGATCCCCAAAGACTCAGGCTAGGTAAATTTCTGCCCACTTACCAGATACATCAAAGGGCCCTTAATGACCTCCCCTCTGTGTTTCCAGTGGCTCTTTCTTGACAATTTGCCTTTCTCTCTATGTAGTGATCCGCAAGGTGGCTCAGGCAGTGAGCTGACTTTTGGAGGCTACGACCCCTCTCATTTCTCTGGGAGCCTTAGTTGGATCCCAGTCACCAAGCAAGGCTACTGGCAGATTGCCCTGGATGGGTGAGTATCCTTCATGTAGTAACTATGGTTGAATGGAAGAACTCACAACAGGCACACCTCAAGCTGAATAACTGAGTGATGCTGCCAGGCATTAGAGCAGATGCTGGGAACCTGACATTTGGACTGGAAGTGTGGAAAAGCACAGGGAGGAAAATAGGAACAGCTTCCTTCTCTATGCCTTTAGCAGGCATCCGTCTAACTCACAGAGGTAGCTACGCTGTGTTCACATACTAGGCAAAGGCTGAATGACATAAGGAATGCAAGAGTGATTTGGACTTAGATTTTTGCTTTCTTGAAGCTTGTATGTAAGATGAGTTGTGGTTCCAAATTGCCACAACACAAAGTAGATATGGTCAATGTCCCAAAAGCCACCAGAATGGCTAGCAAACACACTGAGACATCTCTGTCTGAAGGCTGCTCAGGGTTTGGTAGAGGCAATGGTTCTGAAATTGAGCCTTGAAATACATGCATGGGTATGGAGCAAATGGAGAAGTAGGTTTACACACCTGATAAACCTCATGCACTATGCTAGATAATCTGGAAGTTCAGAGGAGAACACTGTAGTTTCTGTTCCTAAGATGCTTTGGATGAAAAGTGAGCTCCAATGCTGGTGGCTACTGATGCTTTTCAGACTATAGAGATTTACCTATTTATGTTCATGACATCATTTTAAGGATTCTCTGTTCTTTTGCTTTGTTTTATTTTTTTGAGACAGGATCTTGTCACATAGCCCCAGCTGTTGTGGAATGCTCAAGTTCCTGTCACCTCAACCTCCTATATGTTGGGGTTACAGGTGTTCCTCACCATACCCAGCTCTCAACATGCACTTCTGAATGAAATCAGAGTAAAATAGAAAATACAAGAATGTATTTCAGCTAGTGTGTGCATGCGTACACTTGTGTGTGTGTGTGTGTGTGTGTGTGTGTGTGTGTGTGTGTGTGTGTGTGCTTAGTCAAGAAGTGTATTCCTACTGTGAATTTTAGGCAAAACAAGTTGAGTCAGGTATAATGCCTCATCCCTATAAATCCAGCACTCATGAGGCAGAGACAGGAGGATTGCTAAGGGTTTGAAATTAGTCTGGACAAGGTGAAACCCTGTCTTAAAAAGAAGTTGGCAAGGCATAGTGGTGCAGGCCTTTAATCCCAGCACCTGGGAAGCAAAAGGAAGTAGATATCTTTGAATTCAAGACCAACCTGTCCTATATAGTGAGTTCCAGAATCACCAAGGCTATGCAAGGAGAGCCTGTCTCAAATAAACCAACAAACATACTAGTTGGAAAACACTCCTGTGTTATAGAAGAGACCAAAGAGGATACCATTACTGCATCCTGATAAGGTAAAGGGCCCCATAGGGAGCAGGAATGGCGTAGGATCAGGTACTAAATGTGGGACCACCGGGGCCCTTTTTCCTCAGAATCCAGGTAGGAGACACTGTGATGTTCTGCTCTGAGGGCTGCCAGGCCATTGTGGACACAGGGACCTCCCTCATCACTGGCCCTCCTGACAAGATCAAACAGCTTCAAGAGGCCATTGGGGCCACACCCATGGATGGAGAAGTGAGTGTCTTCCTGGGGTAAGGATGGTATAGGAGCAGAAGAGTCTGTCCTTGTCTGGGGAGAGAGCAGTCTCTGAGTTGATCCTTCTATGTTTTAGTATGCTGTGGATTGTGCTGCCCTTAACGTGATGCCAAATGTCGCCTTCCTTATCAACGGGGTTTCATACACCCTCAGCCCAACTGCCTACATCCTGCCGGTAAGGACTGTTTCCTTATTCTGTGAGTCACAGTACCCTCCCCACGTGCCTGCTACTTCCCCCTTCAGAGCCATCTACACAAGTCTACAAGTAATCCAAACTCCCTCCCACCTAGTCCAGTCCTGATGTGGCATTTTCCCTGAGAAATGTGTAGCTGCCTGTGGTAGAAACCGCCTGACTTACTTCTAGTTTCCAGTTCTGCCATGAAGCAGCAACTACTGAGGTGCAAGACACTTAAGGGGGATTTCTGATACTGGCATGAGGAATTTATCAACAAGCACACTAATCCTCCCCACTACTCATATGCACCGAGATGTGATTACCCCATTTTATAGAGGAGGGTGCCAAGGTTCTGAGAGTTAAATGAAGACAATCTGACTGGGGCTGGGAGGTGGCTCAGCCATTAAGAGCATGTGCTGGCCAGTGGAGGACTTTGCAGCTAGTCCTGAAGATACCTGATAAAACAGAGTCAGATGAAAGGGGAGGAGGTCCTTCCCCAATCAGTGGGCTTGGAAAGGGGCAGGGAGGAGATGAGGGAGGGAGGGTGGGATTGGGAGGGAATGAGGGAGCAGGATACAGCTGGGATACAGAGTTAATAAAATGTAACTAATAATAAAAAAATAAAGTAAATTTTTTAATAAAAGGAGCATGTGCGGATCTTCCAGGACCACAGTCGGTTTCCTGCACCCTTTTTGTGTGCCTCACAAGCCACATGTAACTTCAGCTCCAGGAGCTCCAATGTCCTCTCCTGATCTCTGTGGGATACACTCACACATGCACACAGATGCACGCTGCGCACATGCACATAAATAATAGGAATTTTTAAAGAGCGACTTAAAAAAAGTTATGACATACAGAAAAAAAAGAAAAAAGATATGACATGCAAAAACATGTCTTTTGCTGCAATGATTTTCAAGTTCTGAGAATGAGGCAGAGACAAAAATCTGGTCACTTCATACCCTGTGCGCCTGAGTTTGGATGTTGTGCTTCTTTGGAAACACACTTTAATGTGTTGATCTTTAACCAGAGTCACCTATAAGATCAGGAACTGTGGCAGCAGAGAGGTGCCAAGGTAGAGGTGACCTTCACTTTATCCCTCCCAAGCCACCAAATATAAATAGATTTCCAAGCAAACATGAGCATTTGCTCTAAAGCATGGCTTCATGGTAAACTACCTAAACCCTTGGGACACTCTGGAACAGCCTCTGTAGGCTGAGAACAAACCACATGTGAAATTAAGCTCTATTCACCAGTCTTCAGTCCCACTAACACACCACAAAAAGTGCTTCTTTTTGACCCTAAGACTCAGTCACTAAATCTTATCGGATGGAATGCAGTTCTGCAGCAGTGGCTTTCAAGGACTTGACATTCATCCTCCATCTGGGCCCCTCTAGACCCTGTGGGATCTAGAGGATCTCACTTTCACCCAACAAGGGGCCCTGCTTGTACCCATACCATGCCCTGAACCCAACAAAGTACTGGGGTTTCATAAATCAGAAACCTGATTTCAATACAGATGCTGATTTCAATCAGGATCATCTCAGTACATAAAGGATGCTGGAATAGCTTTAAATTTTACTCATGTCCTCTCACAGGGCTGTACTTTTCCCACCTCCAAATCAGCAACTTTGAGTTTCAAATGGTTTTTGGGAAGATCACACCTGCCTGGTGGAACTCAAATCTTTGCTAAACTGAGATCTAAGATTGTGGGACAGGATGGTGCTGGATGCCTACAATTCCAGCACTGAGAAGGCAGAGGCAGGACAGTGAGTGCTGGACAACAGAGGCTACATAGTGTCAAAAAATAAAGTTTGGGGGAGATTGGAGTACCTTCATTGAACAATGGATGTGTGCTTGCCTTGTGGTAAGAGAACCCATTCAAAAGCTTCTTCCCCAGATGTCAAGAAGCAAGTGGTAATGGCTAGCCATGTATAGAGCAGTTTCTGTCCTTTATAAATATTAAGTCCTGCTCTGCTCAAAACTAAAAAAGATTGGATTTAAACCAATGCACTCTAACGCCAAACATTTTTCAATAAGGTCTTTGTGTTTCCAGTTGTAAACTGATGCCAGAGTATGCTGTAAAAACATATAGTTCTCAGGACTGTAGACCACAGATAAGTGAATGGAGCAAACATACACTGTACTGAACAAGCTGGGATACTAGCATGAAATGAGAGAAAGAGACCACCACCCTCAATGGTGGCATTCGCCAACCACCCAAGGCCATTGGATGGCCAGCACCACCATTTAGTAGGGCACCCCGACTCCATTCATCTTTCCCTGCCTGCTACTAAGTGCTTCTTTTGGACCCTAGGACTTAGTGGATGGAATGCAGTTCTGCGGCAGTGGTTTTCAAGGACTTGACATTCATCCTCCAGCTGGGCCCCTCTGGATCCTGGGAGATGTCTTCATTCGACAGTTTTACTCAGTCTTTGATCGTGGAAATAACCAAGTGGGATTGGCCCCTGCAGTCCCCTAAATAGGAATGTATGTTTATGTATGGATGCCTGACACCCCTTTAACATGTTAGATCTGTTTGTAACTATCAAAGTCACTTCCCACAGGATGTAGCCAGAGTGTTCAGACCAAACAAAGCATGAGAGCACACATAGAGCCTCCCACATATGCACAATCACAGCCATCCACACATGCACACACAACAGCCTCCCACACATGAACAAACACAGCCACTCACACATGCACAGGTACAGCACTTCTACCATCACCATAATGAAAGAATGAAGTTCTGGCTGTAGTCTTTATTGCTTTTTGTTGACTTTCTGTTACAGAAATCTCCAAACATACACACAAGTAGACATGATAGCGAAATAAATCCCCATGCACCTCTCCCTCACTTCACAACCCACCCACATGTGGCCAGGTGCCTCTCTATCTTCTCCTCCTCAGCTCCTCACATCTAGATTTGGAAGTAAATTCTAAGCACCATGTCATCTTATCTAATGCTTAATATCCTTAAAAGTCAGAGTTAAAATAGCTCTCACCCTCTCGTAAATGTACACCTGTTTTTACAGTTGGTTTATTTGTATCAGGGTTCAAATCAGATTCATAACTGAAAATAAACATAAGTTGCATTATTTTGAAATGTCTCTTCAGCCTCTTTTCTTCCATGAAATTTTCCGTATTCAGAAATTTGCTAATTGAAACCAGGCATGTTGGTATATACCTATAATTTCAGCACTCAAGAAGCTGAGGCAGGAGGATCACTTCAAGTTCAAGGCATGCAGGGCAAGTTCAAGGCTACATAGCAAACTTCAGGCCAATCAAGACCATATGGCAAGACTTGATCTCATAAAAAGACTAGGAAAAAGAGTTTGACTGGTTAGAATCTAGAGATATCATTTGACATGGATGTCTGCACCCAGCCCTCCTGGGAAATGGCAGTTAGATCTAGAAGGCTTGATTCAAGAGATCTAGATACTTTGACTCATGAGACCTAGAGGCTTTGCTTCATTAGATCTAGGGGCTTTTATTCATGGCAAAAAAAAAAAAAAAAAGGTTACATAAATGGCATGGGTACTTCTGTTGTATTCTACCATGTTAAGTTGGATGAGCGGATTTAAGGCTGTCAGCCTTCACCATCAAATACAAAAGCCTCCTTCTGCAGCCACTGATAGTCACCACTGAATCCCTCATGATGGTTAGGATTTTTCTGATTCTGTTTTTTTCCCCATAAAATATAACCTTCCTTCATCACCCCTCTGCTCACCACAAGGATACCTTCTATATAAAAGAAAATAACTATTTAAGGCTTTCTCTCCCCACTTTACTTACAAGGTGTCAAAAATAATGAGTAGGTACCATAGCAGAGGTTAACGGATTTAAATATACCCATTCTAACATACTACAGTAACTTTGCTCAATTTTCAATGACCCTTTAGCCTGTGAATGTTCCCATCTTACTTACTTCCACCCTATCAGGTAGCCTCAACCACTGTCCCAAAGAGTTCTTTGTACATGCCTATAAGGTCACTGTAAATGAAAATACTTGGAAGAGGAGTGTCAGACACAGAGAGGGGTAGAGGAACTCCCCAAAGTCTGTCCTGGGGGATTTCCCATTGACTGGAGCTCCTCTTCATTTTGGAGGCACCATTGTTTTCCTCTTCCTCCTTTTCCTTTTTACTTCTTTTAAAATATAATCCACAACCTTGTTCTTATTATAAAATATATGCAAGTGTTCCATGACCCTAGAATTAACTCAGAGTCATTGATAAGATCTGTTGTTGTTGTTGTTTGTTTGTTTGTTTTTTGACTAGAGGGCCGGCAAGAGGGCTCAGTGAGGAAAGATGCCAGCTCCCAAGCCCGATGGACTGAGTTCAATTCCCAGAACCCACATGGTAGAAGGAGAGAACTGCTCCTTCAAGTTGTCCTCTAATATTATTGCCCTGTGGCTACACACACACAATTACTTTTTTCCTCTGGGCATATAAACAGGGATAGTTATCTGTATGCAATGTTTTTATTTCTACACAAAAGCAATCATGATCTACATATTCACTGAACTGCCAATTTCCTTCCACAATAGGGAAGCTAAGGCAGGAGGTTGGTAAGTTCAAGGCCAGTGAACTTACACATCAAGACAGTGACTACAAAAAAAAAATGGAGGAGCAGGAAGAAAAGGGAGAAGAAGGGGAATAAGGGAGAAGATCTTGACATTGCAGATAAGCTGATAATTCACTCTTCTAACATCTCTCTGCTGTCCAAGAGGCAAATAACTCAAAGGCTTCAGGGAGTTCCTGAAACTGACCAGGTATATCTGACCCCTCCATCCCCAAGAATAAATAAGCAGTAAGAAATGCTGGGCCGCTTAGACGGGACAGAGGCCAACCAAGCTCCTGAATGAGGCAAGACCACCCAAGGTGCCTGGAAGAGTCACCCGCCAACCTGTTGGGCTGCTTTCATGTTGGGCAGTGTGCTCCAGTTTCCCAGCCTTGTGAGCTATCACCATGCTAGGGTGGGCTCTGGTGATGCAGCTGTTTGTGAGTCACTTTTGCTCCTGTAAGTAACCCCAATAAAACTCATAGGGTTACCAAGTTGGACTTTGGTGGCATGCTTACTTTGCTCTGTTGTTGGCTCCCTATCTAAGTAGACATTTGTTCATATCTCACTAATCCCACTCACTAATCCCACTCACTAATCACCACACGACACACATACAAACAACTACACGAGCAAAGCTTCATTTAAACGCTAGTCTCAGAAAAAAAAGAGAGAGAGAGAGAGAGAATACTACTGGAGAAACTTCTCTCATCCAAGTTCCAACCAGGCCAACTCTACTTAGCTTATGAGATTCAGAGCATTCAGGGTGGCATAGATTTGGGGGAGAGTCTAAAGGGTGACTCTCTAAGAGCCAAGCAGCCTCCATGAATCAGAAATTATCAGCACACTGACTCGGCTTCCTAAGCAAGCAAAATACCTTACTTGAGTAAATGGGCTTCAGAATTCCCCTCAGCTTTCCTATATAGAATTCAATGTGGAAATCATTAAGTTCCTTATTCCAAAAGTGTCTGCTGGTTGGTACAAGGAAATAAGCTTCAGTTTTGTTCCACCAAAAAACTCTTGAGTAGGTTACACACTAGCAGCACAATTGGCCAACTCTCTGCTTTCCAAATGCAGGGTATTATGGCTAGTTTAGACATGTGGTGGCTGGAAAGCCCCATTGGAGGGAGCTACTGGAACCAGGAAGAGCCTTCTTAGAGGAATGGGTCTACAAGGAGATGAACCTTAAGGCAACCCTTTGAGATCTGGGGAGTCATGTCTAAATCCACTCCATCTGTCTTTCATGTGCTAACTATACTTACAAAAGACATGTTCCATGACAGTGAAATGAGATGCTTAAAATTAACTGTGTGCTAACAGCATTTTAAGTTACTTTCTTTTTCTGGGGCTTTGGGTTGGGCCAACAACCTAACCCAGAGAGGCCCAGGATAGGATTGTGTGGTGCCAAAGCTATGCCTTAGCTCTTACAAGCCTGATGTGGTGTGGTGTGCATGTAGTGAGTATATTCTATGTGAGTGGAGTGGGGGGGAGGGTATAGAGTATGTGTGTGTGTGGTGATGAATGGAGCATGTTTAGTGTGTGTATAAGGAGTGTAGCACAAGGAATACTGGGGTGTGTATACAAAGTATATGTGTGCTGTGCATGCATGGTGTCACAGGGTGTGGGATGTATGTTTATGTGTATATTGTGTGTGTGTGTGTGTGTGTGTGTGTGTGTATAAGAGAGAGAGAGAGAGAGCATGGAGTGTGTGAGGGATTCATGGGGTGAGGGAAATGACTATAAGCAGAACTTCTTCCAGCCTGGCTGGTTCGCTGGTAGCTGGACCAAATCTGGTCCACAAGCATTTGGAAAAAACAAACAAAAGGGCTCCTTTACTGGGACTCCCATGAGCAAAGGCAGATGCTCCTACAATCCCATAAATTGGACGTGTCACCTTGAAGGCCCTCTGTCCAAAAGTTTCCCTAATTCAAACCTGCCATTCATCATCCCCTGGGAGCAGAGTCCTTATGAAGTTAATATTTCTGGTGCCCTAAATCCAAACAGCTCCGAAGCCTCGCCTTCCCAGTGCACTCCACCCCCTCCACCCACACAGCTGAGGTCACTATGACCCAGCCTCTTTCGCAACTTTCCCAAGTCTGTGCACAGAAAGAGAGGAGGAAAGCTCAGCGGTAGGGAAGCCCTTTTATGTTTTCAACACTGGCCAGATTAAAATGGCCACTCAGGGAAGAGAAGCGCAGACCTGTAACTCCCACCATACAGAGGTGAGTACAGGCAGCCATGGCTGTAAGGGTTCTGGCAGCCTATCTGTCCTTGCACTTGGCCAGGTGCTTTGGAACTGTTTGGGTGTTGGGAAAAAGGAGTAGAAACAGGGAGCCTGGCAGGTTCAGGGTTTTAATACAGCCAAAAGACTCCTGCACTGCAGAAAGTTCCTGGGTGTGATGGAGAAAGGACCTCCCTGTCAGTCACAGGAAGCCAGGCCCAACTTGGGGGATCTGCAAAGGCCACAGTACCAGACAGAAGGCTGGCAACTCAGAGGAGGGTGGTCCCACATCCCTAGACCTGCAGGGCTTGCCAGAAACTGAGCCCTCCAAGAGGCTGGGTTCTGCATCTGGCATCTGGCATCCCAAGTAGGAAAATAATCCTCTGGTTCTAGTCCATAAGAATTTCTCCTGGCAAAGAGCTACAATGTATGAGCTGATGAACAGAATTAGGCAGGTCCGGTTCTACTCTAAACTGGCTTCTAATCTAGTCTTGTTGTTCAGAGTGTGTGTGTGTGTGTGTGTGTGTGTGTGTTGTGTTTTGTGTAAATGATCGGCATGCACACTTAGCAAGCATATTTATGGAGGTCAGAGGACAGCTTTATGGAGTAAATTCTTTCCTTCTGGCAAGTACCTTTACTTGCTGAGCCATCTCGCCAGCCCACCAACTAGTTTTTGACTAAAGAATCCACTGGGCTATAAT